GAAACTCAGATCCAGGTGGATAAGGATCCCCATCAGATGACAAATTAACTGTCGGCCAGTTTATACACAGATCCAGCACAATGGGCCCTTCACCTGTCTAAGAAGCAAGGAAAAGATGGAGGAAACAAAAAACATGAAGAATTATTTCTTTTTAACATCAAGGCATGACATGAAATTTTGACTCTCAAAAAGAACATCAGAAAGTGATGTAAGGAATATCTTTTTCTTCTTACTTTCCTTTTCTTTTTTTTCCCCTTTATTCTGAATTTTGGTAGTTTTTGCCCCTTTTCCTCTCTCATTTCTTTTTATTTTTCTAGTGTCCACTATCAAGACTGATTTACTTTCTCACTGGTCTCAACAAGGGAATTAAACCCATCCTGTGAAAAAATGCCATTTTTTTCTCCAGACTGCCATCACAGTGATTTATGGTAGATTAAATTTATAGATATATTTAGGTAATTGAGTTTTCTTTATGTTTCTGTTGACTTGAATAGAAAATTAGACATCATTGTTGGGTTTCTCTGGATAAAGCTGTCAGTCTGAATGTGATCTAATCATCTTCTAATCTTCATCTCCCTTCAAAGACAACTGGGAAAATTATGTATTTTGGAAAATACTTGATATACGCTAGAGAAAATTTATGACGGAATTAGGCATTCCCTGGGCTGGCTATATTGACGTAATGAAGTGCAAAGGCATTTTAACTTCTTGAATTGCAAACTACTTCGCAGATGTCAGATTAATCCACCAAATACATAAACCTTCCTTCAGATGTGAATGATCTATACTGAGTTTCCTGTTGTAAGCAGTGATGTGATTTAGTTTAGATGTGTAATTCTAGAGTGCACTTTGTGTAGCTTTGTGTAGCTGTCCACCCTAGAATTAAATCTCTTCACCCTGGAAGGACCTGCTTCTGTCAGCTGGAGAGGCAGTAGACATGACAAGCACAAATAAACCCATCGACAGTAAACCACCAAAAATAGCCTACCCATGGAAGAATGGACTGATACTTTATGATCTATACGCCATCTAGATACTAGTTCCAGGGTGAAGACAAAACAAGTAACAGCTGATAAAATAGGGACTTTTCTAGTTTACATTTCCAGTAAAATGCCCAGCTTACTGGTAATCTAAATTACTGGCTTTCAAGTATTTCATCATTAGGAGTTACCCAAAACTAGGAAATGGGGAAAGTGCATGAATTTCAGGCAATTTAAATATGTCCCACGTTGTTCAAACAGTTTAGTAGATTTGCACTGATTGTTTAGTAGATTTGCACTGATTGTTTGTTGTTGTTGTTTTTTTCCATAGCTACTGTCTGTTTTCCAGGGTTCTGCAGAGTGGAAAAATGGAGCACGGGAACTACACAGTAGTTACAGAACTTGTTCTGTTGGGATTGACCCAAAACCATGAAGTCCAAATGATTCTCTTCTTCTTCTTCCTGCTCTTCTATATGATCATTCTGCCAGGCAACATCCTTATAATTCTCACAATCTGGGGGGATCCCCAACTGGGATCACCTATGTATTTCTTCCTGGCCAACTTGGCATTCTTGGACATCTGTTACTGTTCTGTCACCTCACCCAAAATGCTGGCTGACTTTTTCTCAGATCGTAAGACCATCTCCTACAGTGCCTGCATAGCTCAGCTTTTTTTCCTCCACTTCCTGGGAGCAGCTGAAGCTTTCCTGCTCATGGTCATGGCCTATGACCGTTATGTAGCCATTTGCAAACCTCTTCACTACACCAGGCTTGTGAACAGAAGAGTTTGCTGTGTCCTGGTTGGAGTTACCTGGAGTGGGGGCTTCATCCATGGCATCATTCTACTTGGTCTCAGCATCCACCTCCTCTTATGTGGTCCCAACATCCTGGACAACTTCTTCTGTGATGTCCATCAGCTGGTCAAGTTGGCCTGTGATAACTAGTAGTAGAGCTAGTAGAGCTTTTGATGTTCCTCAACAATGAAGTTGTTATAGTTTTGTTCATTACACTTCTCCTAATCTCCTACACTGTCCTGGAGTTGTTATAGTTATGTGCATTACACTTCTCCTAATCTCCTACACTGTCCTGTTGCTGAAGCTCCGGACACAGTCCTCCAAGGCAAAGAACAAAGTAGCCTCCACCTGTGTTTCCCACATCATTGTGGTTTTTGTCATGTGTGCTCCAGCTGTGTATATCTATGGTTTACCCTTCCAAGTTGTCCCAATGGAAAAATTTGTTGCCGTTTTCCATACAGTCATCTTCCCTTTGACCAACCCCAGGATCTACACCTTGTGTAACAAGGAGATCAAAAGCTCAATGTGGAGACTACTCAGCAAATGCGTGCTTCGGTGTGGAAAATCTAAAACAAATATTTGTAAGTAAATGTCCTCTTTTGAGCTAAACCCAAGCAATCCTGTTCAGTGATTTTAATTTTCAGGTCAGTCTCTTCTAAGAGCCTGAGCTTTCTGAAGTTAACAGCACGTTTGTGCAGACAGTGTCCACTACCAGAAGTGATAAAGCCTGGTGTCTGCAGTCACTGCCAGCGGTTGGGACGCAGGAAGGCTCCGGCTGAAGCTTGTTCCTGTAGTGACCATGGCCACAGCTGGCTCTTGTGTGCTAAGCTGGGGGTGCAGTGAAGCAAAAGGCGTCACAAGGAAGTAAACGGTCGCACCTCTGGGGAAGAACAGACAGGACGATGTTAAGCCCTCTTGCCCTAATGGCAAGTGTCTGAGGTGTCTGAGGAAGACCCTATCTGTTCTTCTACCTTTGATCCTGATCCTTACCTCCTGAACCCAGCCCCTGTGCCCAGTTTCCCACTGCTGCTGAGCCTGGGGCTGCCCAGCTGCCGCCGGCTCTGCAGCATCAGTGGAGATTGCTACTGGGGGTGAGGATGGCAGGATTTGATATCGGTTTTGTATATATTTGAATATAGTTCATTATTTTCATAATTTTTCTTATTAGTGCTATTGTTCTACCATAGGTGTTTTAGTTTTCTTTTCCAATGCCTAAGTCTCTCTGCTTTATTCCCTTTCCCTTTCCCTTTGGGGAGGGAGAGGGGTTAGAGAGCATCTAGAGAGTTTTAGGAACAATTCCATAGTGTACACTATGTAGAAACATAATATATATTAAGTAAGTTTCAACTAATTGTCTTCTAATTATCAGAAAAAGCCTTAGTGTGATGCTAAAACTGTATGGAATAATTTAGAGGAGAACAACACTGTGTGAAGGAATTTACAGAGTTTTGCTCTGAAGTTCCACTCTTAACATCCTGTAGCACCCTACAGCCCTCCATCCCAGCACCCTACAGCCCTCGATCCCAGCACTCCAGTCATGGGACTCATTCCACCAAGTCTCCCTA